AATCCAAATGATTGTTTAGAGATGCAAATAATGATAATAATCCATCAGATATACACATAAACACATGCTCATTCTTGTGCCCACAAACAGCTGCATAATCCATTGGAAAGTCTATCCCACCAGGAATCCAAAGGCTCAAATGCGGCTGCACTTTCTCTACATGCACAGTAAAATGAATCCACATACTTTCGTTACCATGATAGCTGGAGCACACAATTCCACACGGCAAACACATACCTATGTGTTCTGACCAATGTGTGTTTGATGGAATGTTACCTAAACTTGTTCACCTATATTAGGTTTAGGGTTCTGCCAAGAAAAGTTCATTCATTCTGATACTTCTGCCTGACTCCAATCTTTGTCACTCCCTTCTAATCACAAGAATTATTACCCATAGAGCAGTCTTGAAAACGATCAAAGAGCAGAGAGACTTATTTTGTCAGATAGTCAAAGGGTTTTATTGTGGTGTTCCTTTTCTTGCAGTCTCACATGACTCCAGAACCTGACCCAAACCAGTGTACACCACCCAGGATCATATACTTAGTAGTATGAGACACAAGACATGATAGTGGCTAAAGTACTATTATTAAAGAGAGATTAAAACAGCTGTACATTATGCTGAAGCACTCACTCTTCTCTTTACAAACAGACGGTCCTGGATTACAAGCAGCACTTGACCATTTAAATCACGACAACAACCAGATTTAACCAGCTGGGCCATATTCTCCTAGGCAGTGCCTGTTGACCTCCTCAGTCGCAGCTGCTCAAATGAAATTCTCATTAGACAACTTATTTTCAGAAGCCAAAGGACTCTCTGATTAAATATATGTATTTAGATATAGAAGTCCTTTTTAAAGTATTCATTTTCTGACAACTGTCGCTTATGTTAGAGCCCAGCTATATTGGCAACAAGATGGGTGATACAAGGATAACTAAAAATCATCATTTAATTACAGCCAAAGGATGTTTTTTTCTTGGAAACATTTTAACCTGACTCTATGAATAAATGCTTCACTATGATCTCTATACATCAATTTCAACAGTATTGATATTGTGTGTGCATATAAATATATGTCTGGCTATATCTATCAGCCTACTACACACCTATTTATTTATGACTCTAAAGCAAAGTTAAATTTACAAAAGGTAGAAATGTTATCTACTCTCCATTAACCTCTCTGGAATAAAGGAGCAGGGAATTTCTGACAGCATGTTTGTTCCTCAGGGTTTCAGCAATTTATTCAAATCATGGCTAGAAGGAGACATTTCTTGAAGAAATGACAAATTAAACTCTAAGCTGTAATTTAGTTGATCAAAGCATCTGCTTTATCAAATATGTATTATTTTAAAATGTACCATAGTCAGGTGCCAGTGACTCACACTTGTAATCCTAGGTATTCTGGAAGCTGAGATCTGAAGATTGCAGTTCGAACTAGCCAGAGCAGAAAATTCTGTGATATTCTTATCTCCAATTTAACCAGCAAAAACACAGAAGTGTAGGTGTGGCTCAAGTGGTAGAGTACCAACCTATAGTGAATAGGCCAAATGAAAACGTGAGGCCCCAAGTTCAAGCTTTTGTACCAGCACACACAAAAGTAAATAAATGAAACACATTAGACCCTAATAAAGTATATAGTTAAATTTTTGCATATGAAGGCAATGAGCAGAAAGGTAATATGATAGGCAAAATATTCTCCAGGACAAAAATGACTCAGGAAAGATCAGCATCTATTATATTAACCACAAAGTCCTGCCAATCAGCTAATCATATGCTATGACTCTTGAACCATGACGTAATAGTGAGGAAGGGTCCTGTAATGCATTTGCAATGTTCAGTGTGTTAATATGTCTCAAATGAGAAGATGGACTGATAGACTTTAGAGTCAAAACAGGGCTGGGTAATAGTGGCTCAGGTCTGTAATCCTAGCTGATTTGGAGGCTAAAATTGGGAGGATCAGCAGTTAGAGGCTAGCCCAGGCAAATAATGTTTGAGAGACCTCTTCTCAACTCATGGCTGACTACAGAGGCATATATCAGTCATCCCAAGACTAGTGGAATACTGAGATTGAAAAGATTGTGCTTCTAGAACAGTGAAAATAGAAAAGTCCATCTCTACAGAAGGGACACTAGATATTATAAACCTTCATGATAGCAAGAATGAGAGGCGTAAAGTAACCAGGAGTTAAACTTTTGCTGATGTTTTCTATAGTTATTTGTTCTATTATGCTAATAAAAACTAGAAATCTTCATTGCTTCCATTTATAAAACTTTAAAAACTTCTATTGTATTACCATCTTCTAAAGGCACCACTTCCAAGAATAAAATTGTTAAATATCCTTTGAGATATCTTTGAGAACCATTTCTCGTGGTCTTCACACTTAAATATCAAGTCTTAACAATTCTATCTCCTAATATCTTTTCCATATGCATCCTCCTTCTCATTCCTACTACATTTATTCAAGCATTCATTATCTCTAGCCTGGAACAACTTCCTTAATGTCTCTCTCTGCTCCAATTTGTACTACACAGTGCTGTCAGACTAACTTTCCTGAAGGAAAGCCCTAATCCATTACCAAAGTGTGCTCAAAAATAGTCAATGGTTCCTTCATCACCTTTCATGTAAAGTTCAAACATTTCAACCAAATATTAGTCTTTATGATTTGAACACAACAAAGATTTTCAGTCTTATATCCTGTATGCAGATACACCTTAAATTAGACATTGAACTAGAGTTCATTTGATGTTTGTCTTCTATCTGTAGTAGAACATGAATTACCTCAGGTTAGGAACTGCTTCAATCATTACGGGAACTATGTCATCTAGCATAGAGGTTCTTCACCTGCAGTTCACAAACCCAAGAGACATGGAAAGATAAAATTCATGGGTTCTGAACTTGGATGGAAAAAAGTTATTTTCTCATGGAATTTTCTAATTGAACTTTTTGGATGTAAACTTACTCCATTAATCTCTAATTAAAATTTTCTATTTATCTATTTATGCAAATAACAGATTATTACATTTGTTTTTACTATCATCAGATTGTAGTTGGTATTTTAAAATCACATTATACTTGTTAAGAGATATTTCAAAATATCTTCTATGGTTATAACTATTTTTAATAGTTTGACATTGTTAAACTCTCCATAATATGTAATTTTAAGGTTAGTAAGCTAACCTTAGTAAACTAACACATTCCACCACATCATAAAAATTTTAAATTATTTAGTATTTTAGTATAATTATTCTGTGTATAATTCTATATAATCGACAAGATTCATTTAAAATAATTCTAAGAATGAATTTAGAAGTTTCACTGGGTATGAAAGAGATCCATAGAAAAAATAAAGCTCTGAGAGGGCAGAAGAATCAGCATGAAGTTTACCCATTAAAGATCATGTATATTACCCATAATCTACCAGGAACCTATCCATAATATAATAGCTCATATTTTGAAGAGTCTAGAATTTCCCGATCATCCAGTATCTTAATGGAAGGAAAAAGAGAGAGGTATAAAAAGATACACAAAAACTAAAAATTTGTAATTGCAGAGAAATAACCATAAACTCAAACAGTCCTATTTAACTGAATGATCTCTAGGGGCATCATTACATTAAAACATGGTAAAAATAATTGACATTTATAGTATTATGATCATCAATAAACACATCAAATTCACACGGTTTACAGTGCATAAGAGACTTATAGATCACTATGACACTTAACTCTCAAAATGTTTGATTTGTCAAATCCAGTACAGTATCACACCAAATTTCAAATGCTGTGGTTTAGAAAGATTTAAGAAGTTACTCGAGGTCACTTAACTGCTAGCTGGGTTCCTAATTTACTACATTATGCTCTGGAGTCATCAAGAGGCTGACACTGCATCATATGATCTAGTTACTGAAACAGGGAAGCAAGAAACACATTTTAGAAAGATTTTCACAAAATTAATTGAAATTAATTTAAATTTTTTATTCTTAAAGCATCAAATTAGGTAAGACTAAAAAAAAAATTCTCCTGTATCAAATCCCAGTTTCCATGTAGTGTCACAGAGGTCTAAAGTTAACTTATAAGACTAGAGATAAATCCAGAGTATTTTGAGGCCTAAAAGTTGTGCATTCAAAAAACAAAAGGAAGAAAGAAAGAACATACATCACATAGCAATCACATAAACTTCACTTATTTTGTTTAAAATTTACTGTAGAGTTTTCTTTCCTCACTGTTTTCTACGATTTAGGCAAACCTGAGTAGATAGACTCTTGTGCAGAGCAAAGAAGCTAAATGAGGGAATTTACAGCAGATGACACACCAAAGCACTCTGCCTTGAATATTAGCTTTAATAATATTACAAGCCCACCGTTCTCTACAACACTTGAAAGTAAAACTAGAACATATATAAAGTAGAATCTTTTTAATATTTTAACGTTTTGAAAGTTGGAATGTTCATAAAGAGGCTGTAGAACAAAAGGAAATAAGGGTGAAAGGAAAATTCTTTTCTTTCCTTTTTCCTGGGCCATACTTAAGAAAATTCTGCGATCAAAACCTTGATATAGGGCTGGAAGTTGGCTCAGTGGTAGATCGCTTGCCTTGCATGCATGAGGTCCTGGGTTCGATTCCTCAGCACCATACATAAGCAGAAAAAAGCCGGAAGTGGTGCTGTGGCTCAAGTGGTAGAGCACTAGCCTTGAGCTGAAGAGCTGAGGGACAGCGCCCAGGCCCAGAGTTCAGGCCCCATGATCGACAAAAAAAAAAAAAAAAGATATAATATCACAAGGGCCATATAAAATACACAAATGAAGCTATCTGCTTAGCACTCCCAATAGATCACCACAGTACATCTGAAGGACTTTTCTTAGCTAGTACTAGTTACATACTTCTTTGTTCCTGGAAATCCCACTCTTTTTTCTAGTTTGCTTGTTTGTTTTATTTTGTTGCTTGCTTGTTTAAAGCCTGGAAACTTAAAAAGTAAAAAAAAGTCCAACAACTAGGTCTACACATACCCTCTTGTTCTGTCCGAGTCATTTCCTCAAGCTTCTTCTGTTTCAGTGTGTCCACCACATCGGCAAGGCTCCCTTTGCGGCGTTCAGGGGTTCCAAAAGTAACACTGGTCATTATATCGCGGTCCCGACTCCCTTCGTCAGGCTTCTGTGGTGAGGTAGAGGTATTTCGGAAGGAATATAGGGAACATAACTTATTATTCTCTGACTCCTAGAAAAAATAAAATCAAATAAAGCCATTAGAATATAGGCTTCTTTGAAAATCATTGCAGAAGAAAAATCCCAAACTAAGGACAATACATAGGACTGATGGGATAAACAAAACGTTAAATAAAATAAAATATACTAACCAACTTCCCACAACCTTAAAAACAGGTACGTTGAGGCAAAAGCCACATTTCTGTTTACCTTAGAACCAACAGAAAAGTTCATTTTAGTATCTAACACTCACAATTCACCATAATATATAAAATACCTAAAACAGTGCCAGAAGTTAGTCAGACCTGAGTATTTTTGTGTGCTGGAGTTTGGGAATGATCCCTTGTTTCAAGCTACACACATGCCCATTAGAAACATCATTCTATTCTTATCCTGAACAGTGATATTTCACCACACAGTACACATTTTTCGTGTAGCTTTTTTTGACATTTTTTAACAGAACCGGTTTACTGCAATAGCATTTTCACAGGAATGAGTTCCATCACAGATACATTAGTTAAGTAGGAGGAGGAAAAGCAACTATTCATTGAAAATAACAAGCATTAAAAATGTATGGAGAAAAATTTTTGGTATCTTTCCCTAAGTCAGACCTGGGTATTAGAGGCAATAGCCCTTTAATATTCTTACATTCACATTTTCTGTACAAAAGTATTCTTTTTCCACTTGACAATAAAAAGTTCTCAAGTGTATACTCTTCAGAAGCTTCAACATTCTAATTTTTCCAATATCTGTGTCCTTCTCAAAGGAGCCCAGAATGCCTCAAGAGCTAGAGGAAGCAGCATGAGGCAAAGTTACATAATTGATAACTAGTGGACAGGGAGAGAAAAGGAACATGAACTAGACAGCTGTGAGTTTTCACATATACCGAGATAATAATTATACTTGGTAAGTGCTGGATATTTACATACTGTTGCTGTTATATATAAGGTGGAGTCAAACCTATTTTCAAGATGATTGGGCGTATACAATGGGATGACATTTGTAAAGTCCCCAAGTCAGGGTTCCCAGGGCTGAAGTGGTATTAGGTTAGTATTTTTCCGAAGAAACAGACCTAGGAATAAATAACTTTTTTTTTTCTGTTTTGCTTTCTAGACTTTAGAAATAGTAAAGTAAATAAAATTGAACTAAGGTAAGCTTTGACAACCCTGTAAATATCCTAAACACATTGCATTGTATACATTAAATAAGTAAAATGTATGGTTTATACATCTTATTTCAAGAAAGCTATTTAATATGCTGTGAGCTAAATTCTTATTGCTAGCATAATGCCTAGAAAAAGGAAGCAAAATATGTTTGAGCAGAAATAAACCAAAAAGGATAAAATAAATGAGGCAGGAAGGGAAGATACCTCCTCTTTACTTTGTTCCTAAATCATTTCCCTCCCCCAGTAAAGACATTTTATCTCACTAAATATTTACTGTGATTCTGTGGAGTAAGACAAAGGCACTCCTTTGCTTAGGTGCCTGTCATGATTAGTACATAACTCCTTAAAATAGCCATTTCCTTCTCCACTTTGAATAAATGAAAAAATGAAAACTCAGAGATTTAGTTGCCAATGCTCTTTGACCCTGAGTAAAGTCCATACCAGATAAATGACTGAGTCTTTGATGAATCAGTAATCAGCATTTGATCAGCTGGCTTCATTTCTCAAATGCAAATTATTTCACATCATAGCCTAAACATAAAAAATAAAACCTTGACTCAGTCAAAGAGATTAAAGACCAACTCAAAACAAAAGACTTTTGAAGTAGCTACCTACAAATAACAAACCAAAGACCTCCTCATCACTCTTAAATACAGGCTCTCCAGCTTAGGTAACACATTTAGTGTGTAGAAGACCACTTCTCAGAATTAAGTTCAGTCTTGTGTGCTCATAGTCACTTACTTGTCAGTCTGTCTTCCTTGGACATGTGGTCACTGCCATTCTATACCACAGACAATTACCACTGGTTCTATATTGCAATGATGACCCATACTGTCCTCTGCTCCATAATTTGTGCAAAATGGATCAACACTACTGATTATACACAATAAGAGGTTTAAAAGTCATGATTACTCTCAGGAAAGCCACAAGAACTACTTACAATTTTCCCAAAGCACCAACATAGACCATAAATAAAACCATTAACAACATAAATTGTATGTTACTTTACATCTTCCTTAGGAAAACTGAAAGAGAGAAATATATCATTGTGGCCCTCACTTTTTAATTTCTAAAAATTAAAATATTTATCCTTCATGAATAGAAGGCTACAAGTATTTCAGTGAAAGTTCCATATAAACCAATACACACAATAAGTTTGTTTAATACAAAGTAATTCCAATTTTTAAAAAGTGAGAAAAGAGCTCTAATTCCCCCCAGAGGGGCTACACAAATTTTAGGTAAAAATTTTTGAACAAAAGGAAATTTTAGCTAATTCTTCAACTTTCTAAAATCAAAACAAGTCCTAAGGTATACCAGTTGAAGCAAATGTTCAAGGATACTATCAATGAAGCAACAATAGGCATCATAGTGCAATCAAGACCAGGCTCTTATAACATTCTGAATATACCAACTATGTTAGTCAGCTTTCCATTATTGTAACAAATACCTAAGATAAGTAAGCTTAGAGAAAGGACTTATTTTGCTGACAGTATGGAGGTTTCAGACCCATTGACCTCATTGCTTTGGGCTTGTTTTGGCACAACATGAAGGAAAGCATGCTGGGGAGGAAGACTGTGTACCTGGCCAGGATGCAAAAATGAAAGAAGTAAAAAGAAAAAAGACCAGAGCCTGATAATCTTCTTGAAGGGCATACTCCCAATGACCTAAAACCTCTCCCAACACTATATCTTAAGGGTTCTACAACCTCCTAGAGCAATACTTTGAATACAGAGGCCATGGAGGAACCTTATCCAAACCATAGCACCAACCTTCAGAACTGTGAAATCCCAGCATTCAGGCAGATGAATCATGAGTTCAAAGCCAACCTGGACTGTAGAGCAAGTTCAAAGCCAGCTGGCTTATATAGTAAGACCTTGCCAAAGAGAGAGAAAGGGTGGGGGAGGAGAAAAAGGAGAGAGAAAAGAGAGAAAGGGAGAGAGGAGATGACAGGAGATAGGGAGGAAAGAAGAAAGACAGAAATAATATGAAAAGAAAGAGAAAAACAAAAGACAGTGTCATAGTGAAATCTACTAAAATGTAAAAAAAAAAGGGAATGAAAAGAATAATAGAAGGGACCAATATTAGCAAAGTAATTGTACGCATGTATGAAAATATAAAAATAAACCATTTTTACAATTAATGTACACTGATAAGAAAACCTTGGCACTTGCAACTAGCTTTTGCTAGAAATGCTATCAATCTCACTTACCCTCTGTGCATAAGGCCTACCTCCATTCTCTGCAGGAGCAGCTCCAGTCCACTACTGATCTGATTTGGCTGGGCTGCCAACCACACCTAGACAAGGAATGTGGATGGACAGCCATACTGCAGGCAGAGGAGAACAGTGGGCTAGTACTGCACAACTCAGATAAGATGTCAGGAATTGGGAGTTGGAGAGCTTAGGTCAGGAATGGCATTCCGACTGTATAATAGAGTAAAACCCACATACAGGTGGAAGTCTTTACAGTTGAAATAACTGGAAAATGGCCTAAGAACCTGCATGAATCAACTTTCAACCTGTGGCACCGTCCTAATTGAAGGGGAGGGAATAATATGACCTTCTGTTACCATCCCTGAATGATTTTTAGCAAGCTAAATTAAAAGGATTCATTCTTATTGCTTTGTGTGTTGCTTTGTTTTTCATTTTGAATGAAGCATTTTTAATGACAACTTTAGCCTCATTCTAGGTCTCTCTCTCCTTATAGAAAAGGCTTATTATGGACATCTAATCTATCATATGCATGCCACACCATCTACAGTACTCTTCTTATTCATTAGACCTGATTCACACCCATTGAAGGAAAGCTTAAAACATGTTTCACCCAGCACTTACTTAATGAGACACTCCAGGGTTTCTACCATTACCTTAGCATTCACTGTATCTAAATATTTTAAGTTTCAACTGAGTGGTAAAGCTGTGATATATAAGTACATATAAATGTTAAAAATATTAAGTGATACTACACACACACACACCATATGTAGCATTTTCTAATCTCCAACCTTTTTATCCTCAATCTTTAAAGAACCTTTTCTTGAAGAATTTCAAAACCTATCTGCCAACTGTCTTATAAAAGCTTTACACTATTGTGCTGGTAGTAAATTATTGTCCCAAAAGATCTACCAAATCTAGATTTTAATAACTACTAAAAGGAAACAAAGTTTTTAGTAGGTTGAAGATTCAAATGCTAACATTTACAGGTTCTTTCTCAGAAGAAAAATTTTTTTCTTGAAAGTAACATATTATAAGGAAACTAATCAAGTTAACAAAGCTTAGCTGAGTGACAATTTGGATCTAATTGCCAACAGATCATTTGTGATGAAAGTATCATTTGCTCTAATAGTAAAACAAAATATGTTCCTATTTTCTTTTATTTAAAATTACTATTTGCTGGAACATACTAGATTTACACGTACTCTCAAAGTTGACATAACTACATGACACACACATTACTAACAATTAATAACAGTAAAATTATTCATGGATCCATGAGAAAAGTAGATTTGCTAATTCGTGATTCCTAACATCAAAACAAAAGACCTGCTGTTTTTAAAATGTTATTTTCATTTACAGGGGAAAAAAAAGCACAAGCCCCAATTTTTCTAAATGACCCCATTATCCTATTTAACAAAAGGAAGTAAATATACTGATCAGAATACAGAAACATATTAAAATCCCAAGACTGTCAAGAGAAGTACATTCAAAAGGTTCACAATATTCAATACACCATCAGTCTCACAAAAATCGTATCTCAAAATTCAAAGTTCCTTAAAAATATAGTTATTGATTCCATCTATCACTTAAATTCCCTGTGCTAAGTAACATTGGATAATAAAGTAGTTAACAA